CATAAATACAAAAAAGTGAAAGCTAATCTTATAAAAATTAAAAAACATAATGATCAATGGAACTAGGTCACCAACATGACCTTCCAAATATGTGGAAAGAAAATTCCACATGTATACACTGGACCCATTTATTACCCATCATCAATTTCTCGTCACAACTTGTATTGATTTAGCAACGACTTTTTTGCTAGCTATTTCTTTAATCATTTACACTTTAGCGGATTAGCAGGGAGCCAAGGACCAGATTTTGCCCAAGCTCTAATAGCACATTAGCAACTCATATACCCATCATCAACTCATCAATCATACCATGCCCAAGGTATTACCTTACATGGTTTCATTCTCTTTATCTTAAAACCATCGGGTTTTACTATCTATTAGTAAAGATAAAGCAGTCACACAAGGAAAAAGAAAGATGATTTGTCAACTAAAAGGAGAGCTCCAGGAAATACATACTTGAACTCTGCCATTGTGTTCGCCACCAAAGCATGATTGAATAGAAAGCCAATAGAAGAGCAGTACCAGCCATTATTACAGCCAGACCAATTATATGTCGATCCAATATTATAACCAACCAGCTTCCCCATATGATCAGTACTAGAACTGGAGAAATGACAAGTATCCATGCGGAGAGAGACAGGAAACCACATACTATATCCAACTGAGGTCCATGGAAGATATCTGGCCATTTCCTGGCAAAGATCCAACTGAAAAGACAAATGGAGATGACAGTATTACATTTGGAGTTAAGTACATCAAAAAATCATTATTAATTTAAGGGACATGCTGGCTTCTAAAGAAACTATGTTATGTTTACATCTTCAGGAATACAAGGGGCCGTAGCAGAAAGTGACCTACTCATGACTCTTATTTAGTAATAAGATTAGAAGAAATGCTCAATAACTGCACAAATGTATATCAACACAAGAAACGCTTATAGAAACAAAGGTGCGTGCGCACACAAGAAATGGATGAAGATCAGCATCCATGCATGCACAATTAAAAAGCAGGGTGTCTAAATAGAGAATGATATCAGTCTGCAAAAGGAAACTATTTTGACAACCATATGTCCAATTAATAACTAATACTAAAGTGGCCTACTGAAAAGCTTTCCTATGAAGTTAATAAAATACTGATCCTTATCCCCTTAAATCTCCCAACAGTACATGTTTATATTAACGGACGAAAATAAATTTATGCAGGTCTCACCAGCATGATTTACTGTAATCTTTAGTTACCACATAGAAACCTAAACAAGAGTATAAAGACTAAAATTAAAACGTATCTTTTTCAGTATGATAAAGAGACTTCAAGGGGAAGTCGATAACGAAAAACCACAAATTTGTGCATCTCCTAGATTTCACTAACGAAATTCTCCACTTTGTACCCATACGTCTCCAAGTTTTACAACTTTTGGCACTTTCAAGCCACCAAGTTAGTCATGTGTTCTTAAAAGCCAGTTAGTAATTCCCAAGTTCTTAAGGAACCCAAGTTCTTAAGGAAACTCTTCAGGAAAAAGGATTTTCCAATGCCCTGTCAATGCTGCCTTTCTCAATTTCTGAAACCAAAACAACAACAAAAATCCCAAAATCGCATACTGAATGCAGCCCGTAGCCTGTGTTTTATAAAAGAGTTAAGCACAACAATATACCCACAAATGACATTAATTACCAGTATGCAAGCATGAAACTTTTAACTATCTAAAGTTTAATTCCCTATATTAACAAGTACATTAATGCAACCCTAAATTAAAACAATGTATTTAATTTACTCTTTAGTGTTGGCAAAGATGGTAACAAAAAAATTCAAAAATTTTGAAAATTATATGAGATTACCTATAGATCCTCCACGGCCTCCAATTCACAAGCCATAGTATAGAAAATGAAGCTGAACCCAAAACCGAGAAAAGGGTCCCTGAAATCACGCATGCCAGCAGCACGTGACGCTCATCTCCTTCCATGGCTTCCTCTCTCACCTACGCAACACATGCATCCAAACCCATTTCCCAAATTCCAACTAAGAAAGAACCAACACTGAACAAAATTCAATAAAAAATCAAATTTCCCAAATGCGTTCCGCACCCAGTAGCCTGCAATGGCAGTAGCATGACGGTGAATTCAGGGAAAATGAGTCATTTTGCAAATGGACTTCGAAGTCTAAGACTAGGGTTTGGAGCTGAAATTGGAGCTGGGCATGGGATGAAAGTGATGGGGAGCTGAAGAAGAGTGAAAGCCAAGGTTTTTGAGTCAACAAGAGCAGGAAGAAGATGATAGGAAATTAGGGTTCGTTTTGGTTAAAAGATTTTTGGTTTTGCCTTTCTTTGGGTTTCTCTCAGATTGTTCACAGAGAAGGAGGGAGAAAGAGTAAAGATTAAAAACCCTACTGAGATATCTTTGTGTGAACTGTGAAGTGAAAAAAGGGAGCTCTTTTTAGAGAGAGAAAGAGACAAGAGATAAAACTAAAATTAAAAAAAATCATTTTGAAGAAAAAAGTGAGGAGAGTGGCTATAAAATAACAGCTATCCCTGTGGCCTTTGAGGGAATTACACCCACACTTGGACATCTCGTGAATTTCACGCTCCAATTGTGTGAGGGGAGAGGTTTTGTTGAGGGTACTTGGTAGGTGTCCATTGGGAGGTGGGTTGGGCTTTTACTTTGGTATGAGAGTGGGAGTGGAATTTTCTATATGTGAATGTGTATGAATTTCTCACCATCGTTCAGACAAGAAAATAAAGTAGTATTTCAATAATTTTACCACACCAAAAAAAAAAAAAAAAGAGGGCCACATTTAATATTTTTAATAATTTAAGAGTCAAGATTGTTGCCATGCCCAGGGGAGTGATTTCTTGAATTAGTAGGTACAGAATAATGTCTTCCCACTAGAGTATTTGTTTAATTAGGTAAAGAATTAGGAAGGTGGGTTCTTTTTTTTTAAATTCTTATAAAATTGACTTGTAGCCAAATTGGTCTTTGACAGAGCAAACTTTGTCTTCAGCAGTTTTAGCAGTAGTTGTGGGAATGAGGTGTCTTGCTTGGTATCAATGGTATGCTATGTCAAATCAAAATGTTAGCCCAAACTGTGAGCTGAGCTGCTGCTGCTGCTGCTGCTGCAAAGATGGGTTAATTCAACAGCTACAAAAGGAGCTTTACTATAAATAAAGAGAGGGATTTTCACTAATCTGAGTCTACACTCTGTCTGGACATAAAGCAGGTGACAGCTATAGAAGAGATCATCGCTCATAGTGAGCAACAACGATCTCCCCTGCTGCTGCCAAGTTGGAAGCGAAACAAGCAAAGTTTAGCTTAACAATCTTCTTTGTGGTTGCAACTTGCAAGGACTATACAAGCTGGTTGGAGCATAAACACTTTTTTTTCTTCTGTTTTTGCCATTTTAGAATTGCCAACTTCAACTAATTAACAAATATATGGGCTTTAGCATTGAACATAAAAAAAACAATGATATGGGCTCTGTTTTTGGCTTACATATTAAGTGTAGTAGTTATGAGTTTGCAACTATTGTCTTCTTTTGTTTCAGAAGTCGTTTGCGCACCCAAAACCCATTCTGTTAATATGACATGACATGGGAAATGCGGGCTTCAGAAGTCGTTTGGCCCAAAGCTGGTCCTAAACTTCGATAAGCACATACATTACCGTATACATATACATTACAAAAGAATTCTATAGTGTGGCCTTATCGTTTAATCGTTGTTGAGGCTTTATCTTTTAGTAGTTGGTGAGATCCTATCTTTTAACCGTTTGATCAAATTAATTAGCATAATACAACGGTTAAGAGATATGACCTCACATAATGACCATATATAAGGAATCCAAAAGGGAAAATGAAGATAGGAGACACATGTCCAATATGATTACATCCAGTTTTCTTTCAAATTAAGTGGCTTTCATCTTGGTAGTTTGTATGTCGAAAAACTCTAGTCGCTCTCTCCTTCTGTGAGTCCCAAAGAAGAACTCCATAGAGGGGAGGAGGAAGAAACATCATTGCCTCTTCTCCTCCTCTCTACTCGCCTTTTTCTTTTGGGTTATTGAATAAGTCCACTAGGGCGTTTTGAATAATGAAATTTACTTTTTGATATTAAAAAATAAATAAATAATTGCTTATCTCTTGATTTGAAATCTCACTTTCCAAATGGAGCCTCACAAGATTTTTGATTGAACAAGCTCCTCTGTGAATCTCTCTCTCTCTCTCACCTTATTTTTTTCATAACATTTATTTAGTGGCATATGAATGACATAAAATAAAAATAAAAAATCAAAGTTTTGTAGAGCACTGTACAACAAACAGAAAATTGTAATCCATAGATAGGATCAGAAAGCCATGTGCCAAGTAAACAAAGATGATGTTAAGAATTAGCTTCTCCCAGTCCCACCACCACAATATGAAGTCCTCACTGTTCAAAACCAGGAACCAGGTGGTGGGTAACATTTTGCTTCTAACAGAACATTACAAATAAGTTAGTTGGCTGAAAAAGACTCGAACGAACCTGTCCATACATATATGGTCGTGTAAAAATGCATTTAGCTTTAGACACCCTTTTAGTTTTAGTCAAGGACAAGAAGGAATCTCAGTTGGAATGGAAGATGTGAACATTTACGTTTAGAATGAAATAAAGAAAGAACCTTGAATGGATTTCCAAAGAGGACCGCATTATTTATTGTTAAATGTTAAAAAGAAGAAAGGAAAAAGGAAATGGGTGTTCTTTCTTAGTGGGGTGTATGAAATATAAATTTAAATATTGGACTGTCATCCACTCACATGCAAAATCTCATCCACAACAACCTTTCTCTTCAAACAGCATATTCTCTACGGCACCACCCCCCCACCCCACCCCACCCAAAACACGTCTGCAAAAAATAGCAAGAAAGGAAGAACAAACAAGAAAAAATTTAAAAGATAAAAAAGTGAGCATTTCAACGCAAACAGAAGCAGAATCTGCAAATATTATATATAGTATACAGTGCTTTGCTTTGCGCAAAAGATTAGGACCCGAAACGAAACTCATTCATTTCATTCACTTAACAAGCCACTCCAAGAGAGGAGTATACAAACAAAATAGAATACAATAAAAAGACCTCGTTTCTTTAGGCTTTTGAGAAACTTGGCCACCTTCACATATCCACTTACATGGAGATTCTTCTTTTACTAAAAAACAAAGAGTCAAAACTTCCCACTACAGAAAGGGTCACATGTACTACTACTGCTACTTGCCCAACCTAAGAGTGAAAAAGGGTATACAAAGGAGAAGAAAAGGTATTACACTAAGATTGAATGATACATAGGAAAAGTAGAGGGAGGGAGGCTGAAATAGGTTTTCTTTTTCACTTCATGGGCAATTTGGGTTTTTACCTGGGCCTCCATAGTAAAAGTAATGCCCCCAATCCCCATTGCTGCCAGTTTGAACATCATAACAGTTGGATTGCTCAGTGAAGGTGCCCAACCCTTTGGGGGCCTTGAGATTATTGGAGCTATCAACAACTTGAATATTCCTGAAATAACTGGACTTCCCAAATCCCTCCTCAGGGAAACGTCCACTCCCCATTTGAGTTGAGGTGTGCTGCCCATCAGGCTCTGAATTGACAACTTCACCTCCCCACTCAATCATGGAAGCACTGTCAGCCAAGTATGAGAAGAGGAAAGAAGGCCAATAACCCAACACATAGTCATTGCCAAACTGCATCCACCAATGCCCCTCCTTTGGATCCTACAAAACACAAATAAAGTTTTCCCAAGTGAATAAAGAATAGTAAATAAAAGTAATTAAGGTATCTACTCCTGTATTTAAAGGGTCTCCTATAGCTTAAGCAAACCAACTGAGTGACAAGACAATGCTCTTTATCTTATCTTTCCCGTGAGAAGAATGCAGATGCAGTGAAAGGTAAATACAAGTGTGGAACTTGTCAATGTCTGCACAGTGATGGGAATCAGTGATCAAAAGGAAACGCCAAAAGGAAACGCCAAAAGATTCTATACATCCAAACCGCAATGATTTTCTGACCCCCAACCCTCAAAAATTGCAAATGCAAGGATATATAATTTTTCATCCATCCTCACATGCCTCCTTTAGCAGATTATTATTAGCTCCATTTCTTCTCTTTTGGTTTCTTTTACCTCATACTATTATGTGGTCTGATCCAAAATTGGCTTTGGCTTTTACCTTCCAGACGAGTATACTGATATCATATTGGGATCCTCGAAGGCCAGAAACAGGAGAGATGCTTGCACCCATTGCTATCTCACTGTTGATTTGAATAAAGCCTGAGCAGAGGAGGTTGTAGCAACCAGTGGCTTGATATGCATCACTCTGCAATATAATCATAGAGAGGAATCATGCAAGGAAAACATATTAGCATAGCCATCAAAATGGGGAAAAACCAATGAGATAAGCGAAGAAGACTAGAGAAACCAAAATGCAAACCCAAAAAGTATGAGAAAATGATGATTTAGAAACTTACAGTCCAGTAGGTAAACAGTCTTGTGTTGTTGTCACCGTAGAGATCTGGGCTGACCTGTTGCAGCGCACAAACATGAATCAAGATCAATACTTCATGTCTAAAAACGAAAATAAATAACTCTGTCAATTTGGGCAACATTATTGTTGGCCTTGATTAAGATATAAATTATAATACCTGCCAACCAGCTTCAATGCTGTTCAGATCTTCACCAAAAGACCCTCCTAATATCCACAGCTGAGACAAGCTGAACTCATTAGGTTGTTGTATCTTGGGTTCCCAGACATTTATGGTTGCTTTTGCTCCATAATATTTATCTCCATTGACATAAACTATTGCATGCTAATCACCACAAAAGAATGAGATCAGTTAAACAAAATTCAGAAAGCTAATAGAAAATGTTTAAAGAATATAGACACTTGTTTTATTTCATTGCAAACAAAAGTTTACCTGATGACCACTCTCATTCGCAAGATCAGGATCTGCTGACTTTGGTATGGATCTCTGCTTCTTCCTTCCATATGCTTTGACTGAGCTTGCTCTCAGAATATCTTCCTGCCTTGTTCTCCGAACGGGTATAGTATCTTCAGGGCATCTACCATTCGTGTGCCATAGCTGGACTTGTGGGTTTGATCTTTCTTTTGTTTTTTCAGCTACCTTGTTCTCATTAAATAACCCTTCTGGGTGGTAGTTAGGCCTCATCTGATAAACCAAACAGACCCCAGTAAAGTTAGATTCCAGGCATAAAATAAAAGGAGAAAATTGCCGACAACAAAGATGCATGGTTGAGGAAAATGCACCTGGATTTTGTGGTCTTTGAGGTAAGGATGATCGAAAGCAGGTTGCTGAGAGATATGAACGCAGTCTATTATGTCCCCGTCTGGGCTCTGATATCCATCAAAAATCAGAAGAGTAGCATGTTAGATCTTAAAACAAAAACAGTGCACATCTATTATGACAGAGAAACTTTCTAAGGCTGAGAAAACTAAATTAAAGCAAAGTAGTCAGTTGCATTTATGTTATGCCTGCTCAGTGAAACAATGTTTGGTGATAACAAATGAGGCCTAAATTTACAATATTGCTTCAGTTTTTTCTTTTCATTTTGCTGGTCTTCTTTAACTCCTTTTAAAAGGAAATCATTGTAGAGTGAGAGGAAAGAGGAAACGATAAGGAAATCATTGCTTTGTTTTTAAAAAAAATTAATACCAAGCTTCCGCAATAAAAAAAAATAGTGAAAATCCTAGAACCGGAGTGAAGTACAGAAGAAACCCATTTGGTTACTGAGAAAACGATGAATAAGCACCTTCTCAGAATTAAATACATCAACATTTATACCAAATGCAACGAACAACAGAAAAAATATTTTTTTCTTCACTTTCTTCCACTTTCCCAGCAATCTAACAGAGGGAGAACAACAAATGCAAGAAAGCCATTTTTTTATTTTAAATCAAACACACCGCGAGAAAGTTGAATGAGGAAAGAATAATGTAAAGTAAAAGAGAAAGCGAGAAAAAAGAAACCTTGATGCTTTTCACGGCGGGCTTGTTCAAGCGGTTGAGGTGCTTCTGGACATCAAGCTTCTGCCTTGAGGAGTCAGTCAATCTAGCAGCACAAGACAGAGAGATCAAGCTCCATACGCAAAGAGTCAGAGCTAGAGCTCTCCTTGACCTCCCTCTGCTTAACTGAGCAAAACCCATTTGGTAAACCCACCAAAACAAAATACCCAAAATACTAAAAAACAGAGCTCTCTCTTTCTCACTCTCACAGTGCTACACTACGCACAGACCCAGTAGTGTAGGTTAGAGCTCAAGCACACTGATCATCACCAACCACACAAGAGCTCTACCTCTCTCTCTCTCTCTCTCTCTCTCTCTCTCTCTCAAAAACCCAGATGAAGCAAGCAAACTTTGCAGGGTGAGGTGGTTCTGCTTGAACTTCAACACAAAAATCCAATAAAACTGCTCACCTCTTTCTCTCTCTTTTCTGTCACAAAAGAACCCACTTTGGCACTTTGTCGTTTTCTCTCTCTACTTTCACATATAAAGAACTGCACATTTCTTCCTTTCTTGTCATTTTCCCTCTACGTTTCTTACATTAACAATGCCCCTCACTTTCTCTCTCTAAAATGAACTCACTCTTTCTCGCTCTACTTTCTTTAAATTTTTAGGCCTTTTGCACGAGCACGATGGGGGCTAAGGCTAACAACTAACAACCAAAGATGAAAAGAAAATGAAATTTAAGGATCAATACGATAAAAATAAATTAAAGAAATTAGATTAAATACGGTAAATAATATATCTAACTTGAATAAGAAGCAAAAGAACAACCCTATAACAATAACCACAAACGAGCTCGGATAGGGGAATGTAAAGCAAAGGAAAGAGACCTAAGGACCAACCAGTCATACTAAGATAAATAAACCTAAAACTTGAGACATACAACTTTGTTTGAGATTCTACTTTGATCCAGAGATATTACATATGAGTTTTTGATAGATAAAAAAAAGGCGTTGCATATGAGTGATCTTTTTTTATTCGAGATTATATTCAAGCATTCAATATAATTGTTATAATAAATTATTCGAGATTTTGTTAATTTATATCTACCATTAAACTTTTCATCTACATGCTTAAAATCACATAGACAAACGGTACTTAAAATCTTTCGTGTTTAATATTGGATTTAAACTCATACATTTATTTCGGGATTTGAGATCTCAAGGGCTTAAAATCCTTCGTGTTTAATTACTAAGAAGAAGAAGAAAAAAACAAACTAAATTTAGGTGTGTAATTTTGACAAAATAATACATCAGATTATTTTAAGGAAAAGGTCACCCCACAGACTACGGCTTTGGTTTGTCGTTTGGGAAGGCTGCTATTTGGGAGGTCCATGAAACATCTTTCCAGTTTCTCATTCAAAAATGGGCCCACATCATATTTACCAAAATATCCACTTAGGGTATGTTTGGTACGCTTCACTGGACTGGACTGGACTGGACTAGGCTAAATAGCACTCGAAACCCATGTTTGGTAACAGACGGGACTAACTTAAATGAGACTATATAGTCCAATAGTGAAAAACAAGCGATAATTTAAATAGTCTAATTTACGGGGAGATGGATAATTTAAATTGAGAACAAAATAGCGTACTCACTGTCTTGGCCAGCAAACCCATCCGCAATTCACATTGTATTTCAACATATGATATGAAAGAGGATTTTGAAGTGAATGTGTATGTATTTAAATTATGACAAATGTTAATGTAATGATTCTGTGAATTACAAGCAATAGCATGTGTTTTATTTATAGATCCAAACTCCAATCAATGGTTGATTGATGAGCGAGTGTTAGTTCAATATGGGCAAGTTTTGCAGTTCACACACATGACAATTATTGTCACCTCATACACAACACAACACAAAATAAATAAATAAGAAAAATGGTGGAAGGAAGCAAAGCAAAGTGTCTGCTATGCTATCTGCTTGCTTAAGCGATAATTTAAATAGTCTAATTTACGGGGAGATGGATAATTTAAATTGAGAATAAAATAGCGTACTCACTGTCTTGGCCAGCAAACCCATCCGCAATTCACATTGTATTTCAACATATGATATGAAAGATGATTTTGAAGTGAATGTGTATGTATTTAAATTATGACAAATTTTAATGTAATGATTCTGTGAATTACAAGTAATAGCATGTGTTTTATTTATAGATCCAAACTACAATTAATGGTTGATTGATGAGCGAGTGTGAGTTCAATATGGGCAAGTTCTGCAGTTCACACACATGACAATTATTGTCACCTCATACACAACATAAAATAAAATAAATAAATAAGAAAAATGGTGGAAGTAAGCAAAGCAAAGTGTCTGTGGTCATAGACCTACCTTTATTTAAAAAGCTTTGCACTTTTATTCATGAGTTTATTATTATTTGTCTTTGTTCTTATTTTTTAAAAGCAAAATTATTGATAATATTTTTAAAAAATAAGATATCCTAGTGCCAGAGAGATAATCTGACAATGTAGCAGAATAATGCATGAGGAGAGGAGAGGATAGGAGTCATGACCATGAGTTTTTAACCTGCACTCTGCACTGCTGCAAATGTGGAAGGTTTCGAGGGCCTCCTCCAACTCAACACCACAACTCTGCATTTGCATTAGAAAAATTCAAACTTAAATTAAGTTAAACTTAAGCGATGGTAGTTTAGTCATTTCTTCTGACATTGGTCTTCTCAGAATCCCAATAAAATCAGCTCCTTCATAATTACCAAAGCGGAGCACAGAGCCGCAGAAGGATCGCTCGCTGTTATTTTCGCTTAACGCCGTTAATTCCCTCACCTGCCAAGTACCACAGTGACTATCCCATCACCAATTTATTTGTAGATTTTTTTTATAAATAAAAAATAAAAAATAATGTTACATATATATAAATCACAATCTACTCTACATAGACAATTTTTGTTGTGTGATTTTAAATTAGTTATTTATTATATGTGGCACATGGTTGTTCACAAATAATTAGAAATGACACAAGAACCTATATTAGTTATTTGCAAGAGGCTTGTAGTGGTTAAGAGTATTTAAGCATGTACTCGAGGTCCTAAATTTATTCTCATTCCCTCTAATATCGTTTGTATAAAATAAGAAAAACTTACTAAGTGTATTTTTTATTTTCACTTTTTTTTTTAAAGCTGAAAACTAAAAACATGTTTGGTAACAAATTTTGTTTTTTGTTTTCAAATAACTGAAACATAGTTTTCAAAGTCACCTTTATTTTGTAAAACAACTTGAAAGTGTTTTCAATTTTCATTTTCACTTTTTTTGCACTCCTTTGTCATTCATCAATTTTACATCACCACACATGCATTGTGTTGCAGTTAACAAAAGTAAATATTTGGGACCTCCCAACTTGAACCCCGACGCTCGACTCTTGCATTCGGCCACAAACTGATTTCAAGCCTTAGGACCTCTATATCCAAAATTCACAAAAAAAAGAAGATGATACTAACTCCAAAAAATACTACAAACTATTTGTAATATGCACTTTCATTCTATGATCTCAATTTCACAATTTTACCCCAACAAAATTCAATATCCAAGTTTCAGATAAAATTGAAATCTATTACCAAACAACTTCTAAACAGTTTTTAGTTTTCAGATTTGTTGAAAACAAAAATTGGGTAACAAACAAGTTTTTTGCTTTCAATTTCTTAAAAATAAAAAATAAAATAGTTATCAAACGAGTCCTTAATAAATAAATATACAGATTTTTCGTATTAAAATCAAGATTATTTCACTAAACCATGCAATTTTCACTAACAGCTTAAAAGGTGATAAAATAATGTGTTAATTATGGACTCTGTGTTAGATACGGATAATGGTGAAATACTAATCCAGAAAGTGAATGGTGGCTTTGAGTGGTATTTGCTGAAAAGTTGAAAACCATAACCTAGGCACGGGCGGCATGAACAAAAACAAAGGAGTGATGATGCCAAGGAATTTCAACACCCGTGTGGTTGCATCAGCCACCGTACACGTGTACATACAATTCACCAGCACGCCCGTGAGCACCAAACATGTGGAGCACGAATCACGAGCAACGGTAAAAACATAAGAACAAAAAAGAGTATAAAACTGAGGGAGGGAAGAAGAAGAATAAAAGAGAATCCAAAGCCAAAGGGATACGGCTCGGATTTGGGGGTGGAGAGAGTGGGGTTAAAAAGTCATAATTGAGTTAGATTTTCAAAATTGTACCACTGTGGCCCCCACTCACCGACTCTCTCTGTCAATATTTGAGTTGAGGGGTGCGTGTGTACAGTGTATGTATAAATTATTTACAATACAAATATACTTTTACAATACGCCATATAAATACACAAACAACAAAGCTACACCACGTGAACGAAGCTAGACACAATTAACTATGTATGGAGCTCATTACAAATGTATATTGGCCGGCCATCCATGTGATGTGAATTAAACACAAGACATCCTCCAATTAACTAAAGATGAATATCACTAAATCAAAGGCTAGTTAATGTATATATATCATTATAATTCACTTAGTATACTGTATACATAACGTAGGGGGGGTGGTAGTTGTGTCTGAATCTGATGGTGTCACCAGCACATGGGATTTGTCGTTGCGATTCTCTATTCTTCTTGTGAATTATGAGAGAGAGAGAGAGAGACAGAGAGATACAGAGAGCGAGAGCTCTTGTGTGGTTGCAACTTGCATGCATGGTGTGGAAATTTGGGTGTGGGCTCGCTGGAACACTGGCAGCAGGCACACAACCCAGCTAATGGACATTTTGGTCCACCAAAATGAAGAACCAGTACTCTCTCTGCGCCTTGATTGGCGCACGCGTCTCATTCCCGTCGTGTCGTTTCAAATATCTCTAGGACTCGGTCCACTTTTATAAACTTTTTTTGGGGCAACTATAAGGGCCAGTTTGGCATTGTTGTGCTGTGAAAATAATCGATGTTAGATTTGTTGTGAGAGAAATCAGCTATGAGATAAAGCAGTTTGACATTTTGTAAATTTTTTGTTAAAAGTATTGTTGGTATTTATTTCCGCATAATCATAAAATAATTACCGCATAATTATTAAGCACAGCGCATCTTCAAAACTAATTCCTACATAATTAGAAAATGAAAGCACCTCATTAGATGCTTTCCCTTATAGCTTTCTCTCACAACAATTTTTAACAATAAGTGATTTTTTCACAGTTTACCAAACAGGCTAGGTTTCCCAAATTTTTTTTAAAATCACTTATTACACCAAATAAGCAATGCTAAACGGGTACTAAATATGAAAAAATAGGAAAATTCCAAAAACATTAAAGTGAAAGAAAACTAACTAAATCTAATGGCTTAATTAAACATGTTTGATTGGAACTCGCAAGTGGTTAAAACAAAACATTACTACAAGTCCAATCACTCATTTTATAACTGGAAGTAAATAATACATGTCAGTTGTTTGGTGTCAACTTATATTATTTAATTACTTGACTATATTAAATGGTTCCTCCTTACCTGACTAATTAATACAACTCACACACCCTGTTTAGATAACACATGCTAGGCTGGGGAAAAAAACACTCATGAAACATCATAAGCTTTCATCTTCTTTTCCCTAATGGTTCTCTTCTACAATTATGATAATGGGTTAGTTGA